TTTCCTTGGAGGCCTGTCTCCTTCTACCACTCATTACTGCTCATTAGTGGTAGGCATGGATGGAGCAAAAGACTGCCCAGGAGAGCAGCTGGGGAGGTGGTGAACAGTGACCTGACTGACTGCTTTACCTGTGCTGCATGAAGCAAGCATGGTCCAAATAGCTTATTCCCCATCCTGTCTGGGGATAGGATATCCCCTCCTTGCCCTCAGAGCTCTCTGCTGGTGGGGGAGGCACAGCTGAAGGCTTTGGTGTAGCTGGATCAGTCCTGCCCCCCAGATCTCCTCTGAACTGGCTGTTATGTCCACAACCTTTCCCTTTCCCTTGTCCCAGGTGCAGCACATCACAGAAAGAGCCTAGCAGGTCCCCTCTGATTTCCCACTTCTGCAGCAGCATCCTGGGAGGTGACACCCTGTGTGCCAAGGAAGCAAATGGCTAGAGGGGAAGGAAGGTCTCCTCTCCCTCACCTGAAAGGTTTGACTGAGGGGGAAAAAGGAGGCACTGGTCCAAAGCACAACAGAAACTTCCAGAACTCCCCAGAGCCATGGCCGTTTCCTATACTTACCTCTGCCTGAGCTTTGCTGGCTGGATTGAACAAATGCTTTATAATTTACAGAATCCCCTGAATGTGAGTGGGGAAACTTGCCTCCTATGCTCAGCTTCATTTATCTTCTGTTCTTTGGGCTCTACCACACTTCCACCTTGTGATTACCTTTTCCCCAGCAAGAAGGCAGTTGTGCCTCTATGGGCATGCAATTGTATGGCAGGGACCACTAGATTTACTGCACTGCAAATACAAACTTTGCCTTTATTACAGCAAGGTCATTGCAAATCTTCTGGTAGGCACATGGCAAAAAAATCCATGACTTCTCTGATCTCTTTGTCTCCCTGCTGTGGGGTTTCAAGGTCTCTGCTGGGTGCCTGTGTTCAATTTTTCTGGCTTGGGTGTTTGAAATGAGATGCTTAAACTGACAGACCTTGCTGAGCCCCTGCAGCTTCTACAGATTTCACTGGCAATTTATCAGTATTAAAACCACACCCCTGAAAGCTGGTTAAATTAATACAGATTTAGCTGCTGGCCTGAAGCAATCAGCTTTAAGGAACCTAGGGATTGTTCTTTGGGAACCTGAGAAAGACCTTGTTTTGTTAAGATCTACTGGAAATTAAGGGGAATTAGCGGGAAAGTGTCCCCCCAGAAGCAGCAACCATGGAGGTCCTAAAGGACTGTAGTTTTTCCATCTTCAGACCACTCCAGCATCTCCCCCATTCCATGCTTCCAGCCTTCTTGACCCAGCTTAATGCAATTTCTCTGCCTCAGTTTCTCCAACAGTACACAGAAGAGATAATGTCATTAACTGCAGGAGTGAGGAGCAAATCCTTTCATCTCCCTGAGTCCAAAGCAGCTTTTAGTGGTCAAAGGGAAATGAGCCATGGTCTTCTGTTCAGGCCTGATGGTTAGAAAGCTGCTGCCCATTCCCCTGTGGAGTTTCTTCTTCCATTACCATTTGCCCTGTAGATTTCTTGTGGGCAATAAACGCAGTGCTTACCTCTTATATGGGGCAAGACACCTGTGACATGCCTTTTTCTTCTTCCACATGACACGCCACAGGCCAGCAGGAAGCCCACCTGAGGGCTGCCGTTGGAGGCTGGGGCACACTCCTATTTCTGAATTATACTATGCTAAAGCAGCACTGTCCCTGACTGGGGGTGCCCATGCCTCGAATCATAGGATCGTTACAGTGCGTTCAGCAGAGGCATTTGCTGGGCTTGCACTGACCTCTAGTGATAATGCAGGGGACCGGGGTCTTCAGCCGTCAAGGGGCTTGGAGTGCACACGTGCATACTCGGGCACTGGGTGGTTTACAATGGTCCGCCCCAGTTTCTGACAGGATTGTGCACATGAGCCTCTGGTACTGCCTTGGCAAAGCAAGCCTGCTGTCTGATCAGGGTCTGTCTGCTTGGTTGATGACTGCAGTGGATCTCAGGTGTCCCAAACTCTATACACACCTCCTCACTAAACTACTCTTCCTCACCCCAAACCACCAGCGATATGATGGTCTTCAAGTCTTCTCCAGTGTTATTCTTCTTGTCCGTCCCATTCCCCCTCCTGTCCATAAACCTGATCCCCCATTTCTTTCTGCTGCCCTGTTCCTGCATCCATCTGATGGATTCCAGCACTGCCAGCCTGCTCTCCTGGCTAGGCAGTGCCCATGGTCCTTGCTTTCAGGATGGTCCTGAGTAATTTCACTCTTGTGCCTCATCTCTGCCTCCCCTTCCCCACACCCTGGCTCTCTTGCAGAGTCTACAAGCCCTTTCCAGAGCTGGGATGCAAAGTGCAGGGGTTCTGGCTTCTTTGCCACAAAGCTGCCTACTGTGCTGTGTGGTTGATCATCTCCTACGTGATGCACATCAAGCATTTCCTGTTTCAGAATGCCATGTGGAAACAGAACTGCCTAAAAAATACATTCAAGCTGTGTTGAGGCTATCTTCTATCTTTTACCTCCCTGAGTTTGTAACAAAATGGTGAAAGCTTTGTATCCAATTCTGGGAACGGCGAAATGTGTTCCCAAAACAGCCTCAGCTTTTCAGGACATCAATAGGACTCATGGGCTGTCAACAGCTTCCAGGGAGCCCTGCATTGCCCAGGAGCATGGCAGGAGATCTGCCATGGCTGCAGTGTGAGGAGCATTTGGAAGCCTCTTTCCCAGCCTTCCCCCCATCCCTGCATGCTTGACCCCCCTCTCACAGGCTATGCCTACAGCACCACCTTTTCCTTGCTTGGCTAAGCAGCCCTAGTATGTGGATATGTGGTTTCTGGGCTCTGGTAACAAGACAGTGCCTCAGCCCATTGATACTCCCCTGTCTCTCAGAGCCACACATCCCCCTACCCTCCCAAAGCCTGAGGAAGTGCTTTGACTCACTGAATTTCAGCTCAGCCCCCTTAGCTCTGTGTTATTATCAGAGCAAGGCCCAAAAAGTTCTACAGTTAGCATGTCAACAAACGAACCTTTTACTCTGGGAGTTGCTTCCAGAGGAAGAAATGATCTATGATGCCCCACAACATTCAGGAAGAAATAGTCACATCCACCTGTGAATGCCAAAAGCCAGGCTTCTGTCCACCCGCAGATTTATCTGGAAGGTGAAGAGAGGCAGGAGCACTCCCAATGACCCTTCTTTTAGCACCGCTGACTGCATTGTGTTCTCCAGGTCATCTGTATGAGAGTGATCATACTCACAGGGCAGAGCTCCACAGCACTGCCTCTTCCGCTAGACCTTACTGCAGATAGACCTGGCTCTATTGCCCTAATCCTGACACTGGGATTAGCCTAATAGATCAGATAAAACATCTTGGCTTCTCATAAATCTCTGATGAGGAGCATGCCTCCTGTACTTGCCCCAACACATAAGTCGGCGGGAGGCCCCCCTTCTTACTGATTGATGTGGCTAATCTGGTCCACGTGAAAAGCCTTATAGGGGATAGAATGGAAGAAGACTGCCAGCTACAGCCTTCCATGCTAGGCTGAGCAGAAAGGCAATCAAGTTTCTTAAAGCACTGTAACAGATGACAAGGTGTATATTTATACCAGATACCCACATACTTTGGGTGAATTGTGCAACATGAGATTTGTCATCATGCATCACATCGCTGTGTATCTAATCCAGTACCACAGCTCTGACAATGCCAGGAGAGCTGAGCTGTCTGCACTGATGCACCTCTCCAACAGTGCAATGCAGAAACAGAGGGTCTGGAATTAAAATTCTTCCCCAGTTCCTCCAGCAATCCACTGGTACCCTAACTGTTCTTACTATGTACAGGCAGAGCTGCACATGTAAACAACCACTAGATTAGGCAGCCTTCCAAAGCCAACTAATATAACTGTGTTATACATTTCTGGGCTGCCCCCTGGCCTGGGTATGTTTTAAGTGGGGTAATATTTCATGCTGATTTCATCTTACTTTCCTCTATTAAATGGTTCTTGGGCTAATTGCACCTTGGATGCCAGCAGTGGAGAGTTACTCCAGTGCTCAAAGTGACCCATAATCTTTTACACAACCCCTAGCATCATCATTTATGCCTCCTGTGATCTCTCCATCACTTGCACAAATGAGAGGACAGGGTTTGATGGTGGTGGTGGTTTGTTTTTATTCTGTCCTCTTTGCTGCAAGGGAATCAAGCCATTCTCCTGCTCTGGGTGTGATGGCAGGCAGCTGCATTTTATAAATGCAGCAGGTGCTGCTTCTTTTGTGTTTGAAGTGCTGTCATGGCCCCTTGATCAGCCCAGGAGTCAGTTACTTTGCTTGGCTGGTTTTGGCTTCTGCCATTCACAGAGCAGGGCTCTCCCCTGAGCTGTCTGCAGTAGCTTTTGCAACACTCCCATGAACATGTACAGATAATTCCAAACCTGTTAATGTGAATAGGGACTACTGCTTCCCAGCCTGCATAGCTTGACTCTGGTCAGAGCAAGACTGTCTCTTGCTTTTGCACCTTGGTTGCCCCTCAGTTTTAGTGCTTCCTGCAGCTGACTTACTGTAGTCAAATGCCCTGATTTAGTTTGTCATAGCATTGTCTGTCTGAATGCATACCAACTCATGTGGTCCAGGCAAACACCTCGGTGATACTGCTTTGAGACTCAGTTGTTCTGAGGGTTGGTCTAAGTCATAATACATTCTGCAGCATCTTAGGCACCAGCTTCCACAGAAATGAGATCCTGCCAGAGTGAGAAAGCACATTTGCAGCTCTCCTGGGAGTGAAGCAAAGCCTAGCTCTGGGACTGAGTGCTGCCGCTGCTCACACTATCTGTTTGAGCTTGCAGAGAACCTGAAATGGGAGCTCTGAAAATTGTTCTACTTCCGCCTCCCCTTCAGAACAGGAAGTCTCTTATGCTGACAAGCAAAAGAAGTTGGGAGTTCTGCATCATCTTAAAGGGCTGAGCTTTGATTCAGTCAAAGCAGCAAATGCTTCTGTTAACAAATATCTGAAACACTAATGAAAAAACCCAGAGCAAAACAAATTCCCTTTATTTATAATAAAGGGAATCAGATTTTATTTTTATACCCTCAAAGTTAAAAATATGCATTTCAAAATATTTACAATGACTATATATGAAACAACCTTTGTTAATAATGAAACAGCAACATACAGTACTAGAATATATCCACCAAACGATAAAGTCTACATAAGAAGAAAATGTAACAGAAAGAGAGAGAAAAAGAGAGAGAGAGGTAAACTGCATCCATGCACAGTCTGCACCTGCATGTTTTTTCATACTTTCTGCCTTTTAGTTGTGGATGGAGTCACAGGAAGTTTTGACCTCTTGTCTCTTACAAATGCCACTTCTGAATGAGATTCTTCAAACTGACAGAAATCTGCGGGTTGCAGCAGGACCAATGCCTCACTTTCCCATGCCAGCCTTTCACATGGGGACCTTTACATGGGGACCTTTACACAGAGTGGACACAAAATCTCTCAGCAACCCTGGGAGGTAGGTATCGTTTTAATCAAGAATTTGGCAGATGGAAAAGAATGCAGTTAAGTAACTGGCCTAAGGTTGTGCAGCACAGAACAGAACTCACTGGCCCTCTCATTAGGGGACGTATTTTATCTGCTAACCAGTATCATCTGCCTTTGAGGTGAGCTGCTGTGTCACAAGGTGGGGTTCTCAATTAGTACCATGTACTGGGTGATGTGGAAAAAAAATAACCTTGCCTACAGATGAGGACTTGTCTCAGTAAAGATCTGCAATGTTGCAGTTCTGTTACCATGCTCTGGAGCTGACCAGAAGATTTTATTGTAGACACACACCCAGATGATGCCCTCCCTGCATGTGCCTCATTGAGCAACTGCATCCTCTGTAATTAGGAACCCCTATGTATCTTCACCCCGCACTCTCTTTCTCTCCCTCTCTCTCCATTATCTATGCCTGTATATTTGCCCTTCCTCCTTGTATCTGATTCAACCATTGGAATGTCAAACAGTAAACAGAACAGCAAAAAACATTGCTGCCTCATTTCTGCAGATATTTTAACATGAATTTAACTTGATTCTGATTTGGTTGCTTCTCAGTTAAGTGTCTTTAACTTTCACATATGTGCATATATATATATATATATATGTATATATATATATAAAAATGTAACAAAAGGCCCATCCCATTTACTTCAATGGACAAAAGAAGGGGTCATAAGCCTCACTGCCCAACCCACAAGGCACACCGAAAAGTAAGTGAGAAGGGCTCTAGGAAAGGAAAAAGATTGTAGCCCTTGTTTTTGTGGTGCCCTTCAATCATCACTGCTGACCTTGAAGCTTTGTAAAGGTATGACATGACTTTGCAGAAAAGAAGAGCTGTCTGGGTCACTTGCAGGTTTCTGGTGCAACAGCCCCTGGAGTGCTAGATCAGTTGGAGCTGTATCTCCCTCCCTTTGGTGAAGGAGTTTCTGAGGATTCTAGCTTTGTTAGTGATTTTTCTGTGGTAGTGGCAGTGGTGATAGTGGTGGCTGTTTCTGTCTATTGACCCAACAGTTCTCTCAGCAGAGCAATTCTTCCCCATTCCCAGTAGCCAACCCTCTCCCCTGGACTCTCATCAGGCTTATTTTTTCCTAAGAACAAGGTAGAGGATGCCGATGATGAAACTGAAGCAAAAGCAGATCCAGGCCAATATGAAGCAGTAGCCATGGTGAGAAGTTACGGATGGATATATCTGGCCTGTGAACCGGGCTGTGTAAATGGAGACTGCAATCAGAATGCACAGCCCTGTGGGAAGAAGAAGGAAAAGAGTTGGAAAATGCAGAGAAACCAGCATTCCTGCAGGAGTTTTGAAGTACTGTTGTCCCCTGAGATTGTAATGCATGTCTTGTGCCATAGGAGAGAGGGGCTGTTGCCCATAGGCTTATTTATGGAGGATTTCTCTCGCAGATGTGATGACATAAGACACTCGGGGCTTGGTTAGTAAGTGTCATGGGGAATAAATCTTTACTAGGAGGAAATCAGTAACAAGATCTGCAGACAGTTTGGTCCTACATGTTGAATCCCATGAGCAGTAGTTTCCTAACTCTTTATTCCTCTGCCCCGTAAAAAAATAATTTAACACTTTTTGTTGTCTTTCAAAGGTATTTTGCAAAACCCACCAAGCTTTTCTAATGAAAACTGGGACATATTTTCATTATATACCATAAAAAAAAAAACCAAAACACCAAAACCAAAACCACCCAAAACCAACCCAAAACCAACCCTTTCCAATTCTTCAGTGCTTTGTTTCATCACAAAAATTGGGCCACTGTAAACATTTAGCTGGCTGACAACCTCTCCTGATGGCCATGTGTGGCAGACTCATGCAGCTACTTGCGCTTGCAGACGCTGCGGGATGCATGTGAAGCCATCACAAGGCGTGCATACTTACAGCAAACCAGCATGATGATTCCAGTGATGTAGAAACGTTTGCCTTTCTCCAGGGTGAACAGCTGAGCAATGAACACAACAAGCGCGATGACGGAGAAGATGATTGAGAGGATCATAAAGGCTTGCACAGTTTTGAGGGAAGCTGTAAACAAACACACAGGGAATAGATTTGAGAGGGTCAGGACTCAGCCTTGGCATTGTACAACAAGGTCCTGCAATTCACCACCACGATGGAGATGTAGCTTACCCGCATCGTCATTACTGACTGGGAGCTCACGACAGGTCTGGTTGCAGAGTAGCCAGAGTCCAGATGAGACTGTTTTGTTGTAAGTACCCACCATCCAAACCTGAAACAGGATGGAAGAGTTGCAACAAGGGGGAGGGGAGCTTCTTTGCCCTTCCGGCCACTTGTCAGACTAAACCGTAACGGGAGCAAGAGTAGCCCAAGTGCCGTGAGGCAAGAGCTGCACGGGTGCACATGACGCATTCTGCAGAACCAGAAGACATTTGGTCCAGGCAGCACACCCGGAAGCCTGCTCCCGCAGCCAGGGGGTGGGAGTACGCTCAGACGAGCCTCTCACTCCCACAGTAGGAGCGGCAGAAGGCGAGGCGGGGCGAGCCAGCGCCGAGCAGGTACGAGGGGGCCCAAAACCCGCCCCAGCTTTTATGCAGGGGCACCGCGGCCGCCCGCCCCGCGGAGCCGCCAGGGGTCGCCCTCGCCCAGGTTTTCCCCCGCGGCCATGGCGGCGTGGGGTTTTCTCCTGTTAGGTCGGGCTTCCCTCAGGAGCAGCGTTGGGAGCAGTTTCGTGTTCGGTCATGGCCATGAGCGGGTGTCCCCACCTAGAGACCTGAGCACCCAAGGGTTGGCTACTCCTGCCACAGGCTTGTCTCACTCGGGGTGTCTACTTACGTTGGAAATGGTGGAGACAAAGAGCATGATGACAGTGGCAATGTGAACCACGAAGATACCAGCCAGTAGCACCAACATCTTGATCCCTTCTGGGTGGTGTCAGCGATACAGAGAGCTCTGGAGAGAATGAGAGCAGAGGGAGGATGTGAAGTGAAGGGATGAATCAAAGAATGACATTACTATAACCTTTATTTACACACTAGAAAACAGGTTGATCTTAAATCCATCCTGGAAGCAAACGCCTTTGTCAAAATCTGCAAGCGAGTTGCTCAAGAGGTTAAAGAAAGCCTGGAGGTAAAGAAACCAGTCTGGGAGGAGATGTAGAGCAGGGGTAGTTAGCTTAGGGGCATTTTAAAAATAACCTGAGTATTTACACAGGTTGCTTAAATTGGTGTGTGGTTATGTAAAGTAAAAATGATATACTGCAGGCCTACACCCCAGGAAGAGGAGCTTTTGCCCACAGGATTCGCAGAGGTCAGGAAAGTTTTTCTACTCCTCTTCTCCCTTTTCCTCTTGTGCTGCAGCCTCCTCCAGTTGGTCTGGGGCACTGCCCGGGGGGGGGGTGTGCAGTGCAGGATTGTATGCTGCTGGGTGCATCATGTGTTGAGCAGTAGTAGAGTGGACTGGGGGTGCCCTTACTCAATTTGAAGAGGAGAATAACCAGAACATAAATGCCATGGAGGTGTTCTGGGGCAGAGGAAGATGCTTAGGTTTGCTATGAAAACTGTTTCCCTTTGAAAACTTGAGGTATGCAGATCGCTTTATTACTGCAACAAGATTCTCTTGTAAGACAAGTTCCTCTGTGGTTTGTTTAGGGTTTGGGTTTTTTTCCCCCTCTCTACTCTGCAAGCTTTTACTTTTTAGAAGATTCCCTGTCATTGATGAACGTGTAATTGGAAAGGGAGTGGAATGTGCTTTGAATAGCTCATGACACTGTTCATCAAGGCTGCTGACTTATCCCCTGAAAACGCAAAGTACTAGGAACGAATCTAAGTTGTGAGACTGAGTTCACCGAAAGTGAGTAAGTATATTTCCCCTCCACCCAGGCATTTATTACTAATCATGCAGTATAGCCATAGAAATCAGGCAGAAAAGTTTACTAGGTCCACTCTGTGAAAAAGACTGCTTCCTAGAAAGTTTCAAAGGGCTGTGTTGCTTTCTCTTCGTAGTGCTGGTAATGAAGAGCAGCTTCAAGGATGTGATTAATGTTGGCTGTCAAGTTATTTTGGTCCAGGTGACTCAGGTAAGGTTTGATGCTGTCACCATTTGTACAGGGTGTGGTAACATTGTCACTGAGCAACACAATTATACTTTCTGATGTCTTTCACACAAACTGTAATGAAAGGCTTTGTGAAGTCTCATAAATGTGGGCTTTTTTACTCAGTGACTTCACCTTCTCCACTCCTGTGTTTCCTCTCACTGTGGACATGTGTGGGGGAGTGTATTCCTGTAAAGTGCTACAGCTATTCCTCACACTGCGTTGGATATAGTTTCCCAAACCACAGCAGGCAGGCAGGCAGGCTTCTCTGTCAGTGGCTCTTTGTCAAGTTCAGTATTAGCTCATGACAAGAAAAAATTCCTTGAATTCAGGATCTCAAGGAGCCAACTCTGTTAGGTCAGTTCTCCCACACAAATGAGGCCATTCCTTAGGACAGATTATGTTTGGTAACTGATTGGTCCTATCTACCCAGCAAGAACTTGTCTGCTGTGAAATTTCCTTCACCTGGGAGAACTCTGGAGCTGTTTAGTCCTGGCTTACTTGTCTACTTTGGAGTGTCCTAGCAAACTCCTCAAGTTCTAGGGCTTCATTTGCCTGGATGGCCTGGTCCCTGTGTCTTCTCTTGTCACAGTACCTCCCCTAGTGATGAACTTAGTGAAAGTACAGCCTTCTTAAGAGTAGTGACAATCATTTATGAGCTGAGCATTGCTGAAATCCAGGTTCTCAATACCATATGCAGGCTACCGAATGAACACACCTGACCTGAGAGTTAAAACCCTTCTTCCCATTGACTGCAAAAGGAATGAGGGTTTCAAAATGCTGGATGGCAACTGATATGGATATCACCACTGTACCTTGAGCTTGAGGTGAGAAACTATTGCTATTGCCATGACTAAGTAATATATCTGCAGCAGGTGGCTTGAATTGAGCTTCTGACTCAGATCTTCCCATACCTTTGACTACTTGTCATCCTTTTTTCTGATTACCTTGGTTCTTACACAAACGTAACAAGTACTCTTGCCACCAGTGCGTTGGGTATGCATACACCAAATTGTGGCAAATTTGCCTGAAATTTGCCTTTGCTGAACAGTGGCTAAGCTTTCTTCTTTCTTAGGTAAATTTATTTTTCCATGGTCTCTTTAAAAATTCATTTAGCAAGTTAACTTGCTGATTATTTTTGAGGACCTTCAAAAAGCCCTGTTCTTGAAAGACTGAAAATGAACTTTCATAACACCCTAAAGGACTACAACAGTCATTTAAAATGCATCTTCTCTTTGCTTTCAGAAATGAAAATGAGTGATAAATGTTACTTTTCAATGTAAACCCCCCCCAAAAAAAAACAAACAACTGACACTCAGAACTTTGACCAGTGTGCTAAGAAAAAAAATCCTAAAATATTTATTCTCTTTGCTTTCTCTGCCCCATTTTCACACTGCTTGAGAACACTGTTAGTTCAGGTGCTTTCAGTGCACCTCCTTCCTGAGAACGTCGGCACCTTTCCGTGAATACACACTCTATAAAATGCAAACTCCCCCTGGGATATGTGCTCACAGATTAGTTTTGATTCTTTGTGACTTAAAACACAAACCTTCCTCTCTATTCATTATTTTTCCCTTTCCTTCATCTCTTCCTAGCTTTTAAGTAAAACACTGAGGAAAAATCCCAAAGGAGCAGTGGATGAATGAACGACGTAGAAGTACAGTCATCTCTGTTTACGATGGTGCAGCATGGACCTTTCTACCCTTAGGGAAGCAGGCAGAGCACTGGTGATTGACAGGATAGCTGTCCATTTTCTAAGTGTGAGATATCTTTCTCTGCTACAGGGTGGGGTCACATTGCTGGAACAATAGGACACAATTGCATGCAACTGCCTTTTCTTCCATTTCCCTACCTAAACTGCAGCTGGATTTGGACCTCCTTAGGCTCTTCTTGGCCTATGAGTCAGTCTTAGACTTTCTAGAGCTGCCAGTTTTTTCCAGTGACTCAGCCTGAGGCTCCCCAAACCACAATTATTTAACCCTGAAAGTGTTCAGGAAACTCTGTTAGTTTTAGGACTGCTTCTCAAGAACCAGTCAAGCAACCAGGTTGTGGATCCTGCACTGAGCCTCCTGGCACATCTTCTAGAGGAGAGACCCCAGCTAAGCCAAGAAAAACAGAGCTGATACATGACAGTAGAATAACTACTGATGTCGGACAGGCTATTGGGGAAGAAGTCAGTGTTATGCACCTGCTGAACAGCCTGCATGACTCAAGAGAAGACCTTGCACTGATGACAGCAGACTGAATTTCCTTTTCCTGGGATGATGGATGAGGAGAAATAACAAGCCACACCAACAGTAACCATGAATAACAATCACCATAGCAGCCTTCAGCACAAAAAGACCTACAGATAAGCATGACAGACTCTTATCTGTGTTCCCTGACCATGCAAGAGTACACATGCTGTAGAACAACACAGAGCTCTGCTGCACCCTAGTTCAAGTTCAAGCAGGCAAGTGCTATCCATTAAGAACAAAGATAAAGTCTTCTCATGCAGGCAAAATGTAGCCACCCATCTTTCCTCTCTGTCTACTTAACTGGTTTGGATCCTTCTGTAAAGAAAGCAATCTGGAGAAGTGAGTCCTTGTCCTTGGTTTGCTACTTAGCAAAGCATCAGGATGGAATGCAGAGTGCCACTTGGAGATATGACAAAGGCCAGCAGTATAGTTCCTCAAATAGAGGGAGTGGGTTACTCAAGAGGGTAAACCAGATTAGGTAGTGGTCCTTTGCTTCTGGCAGAAAGTGCACTGCAGCGAAAGGAGTAGAGGGGATTTGTAGAGCATATTTCTTCAGGAATGGTCAGGTTGTTTGGGGTGAAAAATCAGAGCACTCTCAACTAAATTGAAATATTTCAGATCTGAAGTGTTCCTAAGGGATGTAGCTCATCTGACTTCCATTGTCATTCTCTTCTCTGAACTAAGATTCTGCTTGGGACTGCCTCTCCCAGGGTGAGTCGGTGAGGCATACTGTGAGAGATGCTGGCTGAGGGGAGAACTCAGCCAATAGCCTATAGCAGCCTGCACTGTCCAGGAAGCAGAGGACATCTGAATAGCACTATGAGCACCACTGTAACTTCTGACTCTCTAAAACTCAGGTTTTCAGCTGAAGTCCCTTGGGTTGATACATTCAATTCTTCAACAAGGGGATTTCAGGAAAAAAAAAAAAAAAAAAAAAAGCATGAGTCCTCCTTGTGCCCAGGGTCATTTTGCAGGATACAAAGATGTGAAGATCTCTGTGATATTCTGGTGGCATGGTGACTTTGGACCTATCACATCATTACTAGAAAGTTCATGATAACTTTAAACAACCACAAGGAAGCATCCTTTTGCTTTCATCCTTTGTGCTGTTTCTTGCATTGGGTGCAGCTGAATCTAAAGTCCTTGCTGACTCCAGACTTTTAAAAACCACTGTTTGCCAGCACTGCTGTTGGCAACCTGGTTTTGAAAGACTGGACTGACTCAGTCTACAAGTCAGATGCTTTTTATAGACATGTGGATGAGTAGGCTGGTGCCTCTGGAAAGAAATTTTATGTGTGGGAAAAGGGTTAGGAAGGAGATGTATGTGGGCACATGGAGACCTTTGGAGCCTCTGATTTATGGCAATGAGAAGATTTTCTGCGTGCATGGGTGGTGGCTGTGGTGACCACATGGGGTACAGTTAGGCTGTAAACATAGTAGAACAATGCCAACCAAAAGGAAAGTACAGAGCTGCCTGAGGGGCTATAACTGAAAATAAGCTTAAGTAAATGGAAGATTTTGTTTGGTCCTTGGGAAGTATTCCTGGTGGTATGGTCTCCAAGGGATCAGGGGAATTGCCTTCCCAGGGGAGTGGTAAAGGTCCAGCATGTGAATCATTTCTT